CGCAGGGGTGGTTTGGCATTTCATGTAGCTTGTCGCTTTTTTGTGGCCCCATTCTACCTCCAGGATCATGATTTGAAAATTTTAAAATCTACACTACTTCATCTTTAAATGAGTTTATGCTTTCCTGTCCCGGTGGTACTTGAAAAGATTTTATATTACCCAACCCTATATTTGTCTTTTCATTCGTATCTCCCGTTGTAAAGGAGCTTGGTCCTTTATTTCCGCAAGAAGAAGGTACGGTTTGGGCTCTATTGTGCCCTAAAAATTTACTGTTCTTAAAAAGTTATGAAATTGGCTTTAACAATAGTTGAGTAGATGAATATGATAAATCATTAAAGAATATGGCATAAAGGAGGACCATTCTGAAAATATGACGTCACTAATTTGGTACATTTTTAAGTTTAATGCAGAAAAGCCTCAGAATGACTCGTTTCTGTGCTTATTTTCCTTCAGAAAATAGTGTCTGCCACCGTCGCCCACTTCAATTTTTTGATATATTATTTAAACTGCTTTGAAAAATCACAAATATCAAAATCTTTGTGAGCGACGGTGGCAGAATATGTTTTCTGAAAGAAAATTCCATTGAAAATTAATATCTTCTGTAACTTTTTAAGAAAATACGGGAAAATGCACCAGTTAATAATGACGTCATAATTAGCATATAGGAGGTCATATGTGAAAAACGATTTAAGTATTCTTACTGCTTGGAATTCCTATGATTCAGAAAGAAAGAATTTTAATTTCTTAAATCACTTTCATATTTTTGGAAAAAAACAGGGCTTAATTTGTATTGAAACTGTACCTTCTTCTTTAAACTCCCTTTACACACAATGATTCTTTGTACCAAAACTGGTTAAAACTGGTCTTGTGGTGGTTCTTGAGAAGAAGTTGAAAACGTGAAAAGTTTACAGATGGACGGAGAATGGGTGATCAGAAAAGGCTCACTTGAGCTTTCAGCTCAGATGAATACAAAAATAATACATATTTTCAGTCTTAAATAGTTCTTATAAGAGAAAGAACTACCGTGAAATTTTAGAAATACCCTTTTACAGTTCCTTAATGCTAGAACACCTAACTGGAAAACAGAAATGGCACTTTTTAATGACCAGTATTGCTACTGACTAACTTCATAACATTCTGCTAACATATTTAAAGATTAGCATTACTAGATGTATGTACAATAATTTAAAATTGTGTCCCCACGTGACTTATTTGCAACTCTACAATGCATCGAAAAATAATAGCACACTCAATAAAAATAGTGATCTTTTATGTGTAATTTATACTGACCTCCAAAACTGTATTTTCTTGAGCGTTATCTTCACTGTTCCCCTGTAAACAGATATGGAAGTCTAATAAAAATAAAGAGTTTTTACCTTCTTGTGTTTAAATATATATTTAAGACCTCCCCACAGGCAATTACAAGGGGTACCCTCCCTAATTTAGTAAAATCGCACCCATTTACACTTTCAGAGGATATGCACGGGTAAACTGCTTTTTACAATTATTTTCTACCAATTTATTTACACAACCATATATGGCATGCTTGTCTTTATTTTCTTTTATATCCATCAAAAGCATACCCCCTAGAATTAAATGGCTAAGAATTAAACTAAATTGATGACGTCGCACTGTTGATGTTGACATACCGAAAGAAAGCAGATCATGGAAAAATGTAAAATATTTGATGCATGCAGCTTTTTAAGGAATGACTCTAATTCCTGGCCAAATTATTCGATATAACCTGGTTTGGGTCAGTTTACCCTTTATAATCCGCGAAGCGAATTACAACAAGAGGCCCATGGGCCACATCGCTCACCTGAGTAACTTGGGTGATGCAGTTCTTTACAAGATTCCCCCTCTTGCTATACCTATCATGCCCCACTACCCCCTTCCCTTTTATGATTTTAAAACTTTAGAATATACGCAACCCCAGGATGCTTCCGCACAAGTTTCAGTTTTCCTGGCCCAGTGGTTCTTGAGAAGAAGATTTTTAAAGATTTGTTCTATATATCTCTATGTAAAACTTGGATTCCCTGTTGTGGCTCCGCCCTACCCCCGGGGGTCATGATTTTAACAATTTAATATCTACACTACCCAAGGATGCTTCCACATAAGTTTCATCTTTCCTGGCCCAGTGGTTCTTGAGAAGAAGATTTTTAAAGATTTTTCTTATATATTCCTATGTAAAACTTTGATCGGCCATTTTGGCCCCACCCTACCCCCAGGGGTCATGATTTGAACAAAATTGAATCTACACTACCTGAGGATGATTCCACATGAGATTCATCTTTCCTGGCCCAGTGGTTCTTGAGAAGAAGATTTTTAAAGATTTTTCTTATATATTCCTATGTAAAACTTTGATCGGCCATTTTGGCCCCACCCTACCCCCAGGGGTCATGATTTGAACAAATTTGAATCTACACTACCTGAGGATGATTCCACATGAGTTTCATTTTTCCTGGCCCAGTGGTTCTTGAGAAGAAGATTTTTTAAAATGCCATTAATTTTTCACTAATTCATAATTATCTCCCCTTGGAAGAGGGCATGGCCCTTCATTTGAAGAAATTTGATTCCCCTTTACCCAAGGATACTTTGTAGCAAGTTTGGTTGAAATTGGGCCAGTGGTTCTTGAGAAGAAGATGAAAATGTGAAAAGTTTACAACAACGACAACGACGACTACGACTACGACAACGACAGACAACGGACAAATTTTGATCAGAAAAGCTCACTTGAGCCTTCGGCTCAGGTGAGCTAAAAAAGCGTAAATTAAGCTGACCCAAACCAGGATATACTCGAATAGTTTGGCCAAGAATTAGAGTCATTCCTTTTAATTAAGTTTTAAAATAATTTTTCAAAAAAATTGTGGGTGTAAAATTTTGCTGATTATAATGAGTTCAAATTTGCCGCTCAAAAATACATCCCTAGTAACGGAAGTGATGGGAATCGAGGGTAGGTAATAACTGATACACAGACTAAGCAGCCATGATGTTTGTTTACATGAGGTAAGATCCAGCTACTGTTTGAAGTTAAAGGCACATTTATTAAATCTGGAATTTTCCATAAATCCTGAGGACTGGAAATGAGGGGATTGCATGGATATAGATGATTCAGGTGGTTGTCAAGGGGGTATGTCCCCATACCAAACCAGATTATACATTATAATTTGCGTTCCTTTTTGGAAATCAACCAACGAGAGACTAGAATACACTTTTTGGAAATCAACCAATGAGAGACTAGAATACAAACAAAATTAAATTAATCAAACATAATTATGTGAAGATCTGTTGGAGATTAATTTCATTCGAAGTTTTGATGAAAGTTGAAAGGACCAAGGGATCATAGAGTCTTCTCCCAAGTGCCCTAAATGGCTTAAATATTTAACTGTGAGAGTCCAGTTTATTTCTTTTTTAGAGGTAATTCTTCTTACGAATTCTTTTTTCATGTCGTCTTTATTATGGTGCAAATGATTATATTTATATTTTCCATGATTCTTATCCAATGCTGGGCGAATTTGTCCCTATTTCCTTTAATTACACTAAATGCACTTAAGTTTATAAATTAATTCCTTGCTGTCGGGTGGTTACGTTCCAATTCTGTGTTTGACCCGCATGGTTAATACCCTAGTAGTTTCTACAGGTATACACATTAAAAGGGGGACCTTAATCGCTTATGTAACTTGACCCAGCCTAGGTTGTACAGAATATCAAATTATTCATTCATAGCGCAAACAAGGAAAGTGTCTATTGAGAGAAGTAATATGTCATAATAAAGCGTTTATTTGCATAAACTTTGTAAAGTCAAATTAATTTTGAAGATACATTCTCAAATTTCATATAATTACCATTTGTTTACATTCGCAACAGCTATAATTCATTTTCGATTCCGATGGACACACAGCTGTAAAAATAACATGATTAAACATAGTTCATTCAGCACAATTGAGAAAGACTTGCTGCGTTTTCGTTTCTTTTTGTTATATACCGGTATTTGGTAGGCAAATTTATAATAATATTATAATGTATGCATTATCAATCTAAAAGAAGTATACAATTGTACATGTAAATACAAAAATGCATATTGATATACCTTTTCCGTTCCAAAAATATCGCATACAATTTCCATCAACCACATTGCTGCAATCGCATTCTTTCTATGAAAAGAAATTTAAAAAAAACAAAAATTGTCTGATGTTTGCATGAAGAGAGTAGCCGAAAGTATAAGAAAACATATAACTTCAGTTTAGCATTGTCGATGGTCAGCCTCGGTTTAAAATGAATCGTACTACAAACATGGTTTTATACATGAAATCAATTTGGAGAGATTAACACCATAGCAAACGCATAAAATACTGGAATATTATAAATACTTAAGTAAAAGAAGTAAGATATTTATTAGCTGAAGTCTTCAGAGAACGTTATTATCGACTATAGTCAGTAAAATATGCAAATAAAAAAAATGAGGCGGACTCCGTGGTGTCTTTTACTTTAATTCGCTGAGTTAAATTTTGTTGACATTTTAAAGTATTCTTAATTGAATAGAGCTTCTAGATATGTCGAAGTGCTGAATTAAGAGTCTCAGAATCAAGTAAGAGTTTCCTTCTTATATAAAGTTTTTGGATTCGTGCTACTTCATAGGAATATGAAAACAGGTCGAGAACATATGATAACATTTTATTAACCTCCAAATTCTGACAGATTGTCTAAGGTCTGGATAGACTTATTATCACTGCAAATATTGTAAATACAGATCTCGAATGTTTCTAACAGTTTAAAAAAAAGAAATTTAATTTCTTGGACAAAATATTGAAAAGGCAAACTTCTCAATTAGTCATTCTCATTTAAAAAAAAAGTGACAGTTTTTAATCTTTCGTTGTTTTTTTTTTAAAGAAAAGCAATATAACCTGGAATAGGGAAATGATTCAAATGAAATTTAATAAAACCAGTTTTTAAAAAAAATATATTCATATTACTTCTGTTATCTGATACCTTCTTGAGAACTAAACCAACCAGTCAGTCATTATAACTGGAATAATTGTCTTTTTAAAAAAGCAATCAGATATAGTTTTCAATAAAAATCAGCAGAAGAAAGAAGTTTGATATGTGAATAAAAAAAAACTCACCTTCACTAAAGTTAGAAAACATTTTTCTTTCTTTTGATCCCAGCTACACACAATATATTTACTTTTATCATCAATCATTTTATTGTAGAAGACTAGACATGCAAAAAAAAATACGTACAGATGTCATATTATTCACTTTTATAATCAAAGGACTCAATTACATCTCTGTCGAAAGTTCAAATTACCATTCTTTTTTTTTACCCTCTTCTGCAAGGTTTTTACAAACTCATATTTATTCTGTGAGATTTTATTATTGTGTTACTTTGTTCCAGTATATTATCAAAGATATGGTAATGCAAAAATTCCAAAAAATGAGATCCTGAAACATATTTATTATGTTATAAATATTTTATAAACAATAAATTGTTGAGTAATACTTTCTACAGAAAGACTTATTTTAAGTTTATTTTTAAAAAGAAAAAAATAATTCTGTCACGTTTGTCAGTATCGAATTCAAGTTAAGCTTGGAAAGTTAGAAGAAAAGAAAAAAGAACCACTTGGCCAGAAAAAAAAACTTATTGGGAAGCTTCCCTAGCTAGTGTAGAACCTAAATTGTTAAAATCATGGCCTCGGGGGTGGAGCAGGGCCAAGATTTGCATTGAAATAAATAGGAAAAAATTCAAAATCTTTCTCCCAAAAACCACTGGACCAGAACAACAAACACTTCTATGACAGCACCCTTGTGCTGTGTAGATTCTAAATTGTTCAACACACTTTGGCTACAATAGGGAATCAATGTTTAAAATTGAAATATACAGGAAAAATCTTTCAATACTTATTTTTCTCAAGAACCGCTGGACCAGAAAAAAAACTAAAACTTAAATGGGAGCATCCTTGGGTAGTGTAGATTATAAATTGCTCCCATCATGGCCCCCGGGTATAGGGTGGGGTCACAATAAGAAATCACCGCTTTTCATTGAAAGAATAGGAAGAATCTTAAAATATCTTCTCAAGAACCATTATGCCAGAAAATTAGAACTTACGTGGAAGCTTTTTAATGAAGTGTAGAAACTAAATTGTTCAAAAGTTTAGGGTGGGACCATAGTAAGTACTATAAGGGTGAAATCCAGTAGAGTACAATAGTGCTAAAGACATTCAGGTGAGTGTTGTGGTCCACGAGCCTCTCGTTCTTGTTTTTTTTATTATTTTTATTGTAAATATTATTATTATCATTATTTTAAATTCTTATTATTTGTAATTTAAATTTACATTTAAATACGTAATTTTAATTCTAAACATTTTTTAATACCTGATAAAATTTTATTGAAAAGGGAATCTACATACCTCGTAGGGCATTCTGTTTTGGAGAAACAACAGTTACATATGCTTTGTCGTTGTTAACATCTCCGTGATAAAACCACACATGATCACTTTTTGTTTTATCACTTATCAAAATTTGTTTTTTCTTAGGCCTGTAAATTATTTTAAAAAATGGTATTAATTATGATCAATATATTTTTATTGAATATAATTTATTACTTTGTAGATTTTATTTAATTAATTTTCTTTTCTTTTCTTTTAATTCATTCTCTTTATATGAAATATGTTTCAATATGACCTTTTAAATGCTAATGGTGACGTCATGGACTTGTGCAATTTCCCGTTTTTTCTTTAATAGTTGCAGAAGAAATAAATTTTAAGTGAAATTTTCTTTCAGAAAACATACACTGCATGCATCGCCCACAAAGTTTTTGAGATATATGAATTTTCAAAGCAGTTTACACAGTACACTGTATATTCAAAAATGAATGGGCGATGGTGGCAGACACTATTTTCTATAGGAAAATAAGCTCACAAATGAGTAATTTTGAGGCTTTTCTGCATAAAAATTAAAAATACACCAAATTAATGACCTCGAATATTAGAATTGTCCTCCTTTGTACCATAATTATGAAAGATTTATCATACTTAGTATTCATCTATTCAACTCATGATAAAGCCAATGTAATACATTTTTAAGAACATGAAATATTTTAGGGTACAATAAAGCCCAAGCCGAATCTTCTTCTCTTATTTTGAAGACTAGAAGTTACCTATTACATTTTCTATTACAAATTTACCAATTCTTCACCCAAAACATAATAATTCCATAGAAGTATTAGACAATGTTTGTAGATGTGATGCATAAATAATGATTTAAAGGGAGAAGTTCCATGACTAAACTCTTTGAATAAACATTGACGTTTTTATCTATTATGCAACGAAATAGAAATCCGGTTTACTTAATAGAAATTTTCAATTTTTCTTTTGTTGATGAATTGATAAACTCGTTCGGTAGAACATGATCCTTTGTCATCCAGTTTACAATATTTGCGTTTGTATCATTGGTAAAGAAATCTATTGCCCAAAGAAGTTGTCCATGCTGATTTAATGCCATCATAGAAACCTAAAAAATACAAAGATATGAATTGTTAAGGTAAAAGTATTAACCTATGTTATTTATACTTATTAAATTTATTCATTTACTGTAGTGCACATTTTTTCATGTTTCGTTGGAGATAAAATTTCGTTGATTTGTCATCAAAAATAATTTCGTTGTTTTGAAAGTCACCGTGTAAATTATAAAGTTATATAAATTTCGTGTGGGGTTTGATTTCGTTAATAGTTGTTAACAAAGAGATTAACGAAATTTAATCTCCCAGGAATATTTGTTCTTTTACAATATTTATATATTTATCTATTTATGTATTTATTATTTTATCAGCAGTAGCTTCATTTTCAATACGATGACTCTTAAGTCTGTTTAAAAAAACAATGAATATTTATTCACATATTCCGGTTTGTGGAACAGCTTGTCCCGATTCCACCAATCAATTGCCGGACTCCTCATGACGAATCCAGTAAACATATTTCCAAATTTCATGGTGACGTTTCTGTTCCAAACTTCCAGAAACTTCGTATTATTTCCAGGAATAAAGAATAGTGGTTTTACGTCATAGTCTAAATAAAGTTGTTGTTTCTTTTAATGAAAATCACGAGTAATATATGCGCTGATGAGGCACAATAAAATATTTATTGAGGCTTAAATTGTATGTGTTATCATTGAGCAAGTAGGCCTATCATATTTTGGATGGTTTAGCTCAATTAAAAGTATGCTGATCTACAAATAACACTAAAATGTTTCTATAGAAAATATTATCAAAATTAATGATCTCGGAAATTCCTTGTTTTTGTTGAATATGATATTATAATTACCAGTGTTGTAGATTGTCATTTTTCCGTATCCTCCACATTTTCTATTGTCTGAACATGAGAAATGGCAGTGTTTTTCGGATGTCGCAAAGGTCTGATTATAGTCATCACCACAAAAACATCTACCTTCCTGTGGGTGGAGAATATTGATTGACTGATTGTTTATTGTTTAACGCCGATTCAGCAATATTTTAGCCATGTTTTGGAGAAGGTTGAAGAATAAAGCATACATGTTAGAGTTATTTACTGAACGGTAAGGTATTGATTAATAACAATTTATTATTAATTGAATTTTAAAAAGGATTATATGTAGACGCCATATTCATATAGGCTAGAATTTAGGACATAAAATACTTACCATTAGTCCTGCATATTTATTGTCATATTTCTTAAGACAAATTTGAATGCAGCTATGTACAGAGGTTGAGTCACTGACAATTGCACTGAAATTCATGAATCTGTCCATATGATTGGTATAGTTATAGCAACCCACATAACCTGAAAAAAGAAAAATTGTACAAATAATCAATTCACATCTGAGGTTTGAATTTTTTCTCAGTGCCTAGCTTGTATTTTTACGTGATAGTAAACAGTTTAAGTATGCATTATGGCAAGAGAAGTGACTCTAGTATATATTTAACTTATCTCTCCAAGAGGGTGCTCTTCATCTTCTAAAGTTTAGTTTTAGTGTGGAAGCTGAAAAAGTTCATGTCTAACAATGGTAGCAGAGCAAGTATGAAAGAAAATCTGGTATCATAAATGCCAACAATTGTGTAAGCAAGTGTGTGACTTTTAATAAGAATAACTTGGTGAATGTCAAAATAAAAAAATTAACCTAAGCGAACTGAGAAAATGTGAAAAATAAGCACCCCCTCTTTACAACCCTTAAATAAAAAATAACGGACTTAGCATGGAAAGAAGTCAGAGCTATACGAAAATGAACAAGGTGCTGTTATTGCCCTTTCTCTTCATGAAAATGATTAGTGCAAGATACGAGAATAATATTTGATTATCTAAAATTGGAGGATCTAAAAAAAATAATAATAATGCGTGTTTGAAAACATTAATTTAATTTTTGACAAACTGACTACAAAAAGATGACTTGACAGACAGCTTTAAAACATAAGCAGAGTTTGAAAATATAAGGTCTAATGGATAGTTCATCACTGAACAGTGAATACATCTCCATTTTGGATGCAAAATACAGAAATATTGAAAGAAAAATATGAAGCTGCCTCCATAGATTTTGTTAGTAAAATACTCAGAAGATCATTGATAAGCAAAGAAGAAAGAATGATCGTCTTGATAGGAATGAATATTGAGAACATAGAAACCTTACGGAAGGAAGCGAAGAAATCGCTTTAAAAAATCAAAGATGGAACTTGTGAAGGAAATGTTCCAACCGAACCAGTCTACATGTAACTTTAACCAACATTTCTTGCAGAAAACAAAGAACGCACTGATGAATTGGATACACTAGAATGATAAGCAACAAATTTTTTGTCGAGGAAGGGGAAAGAATGAACAGATGAGACTCTTCAAAACAACCAAAGCATATTTCCAAATTTCTTGGTGACTTCCCTGTTCCAAGGTTCCAGAAACTTTGTTATTATTTCCAGAAATGGGGAATAACGGTTTTATGTCAGAGTCTTAAATAAAGTTTCGTTTCTTTTAATGACGGTCACGGGTAATTTGCCAAAGAGTTGTTTTTCAAATGGCAAAATTGTTTTTGTTCGTCATGGTGAAATATTGTCCGAGTGCAACCGGTTACAGAAAATAGCAGATTTTCAAACTACGGAAACACAACATCAAGAACAAACAAATGCAATGGAAGGAGGAAGGATGTATATCTACTGTTGATGGGATGTTACTAGTACTTCAAAATAAGGACAAGTAAAAGGAAGACTTGCAGATCGAAGGTTTGAAGATAAATATGGCATCCCTAGAGACAGTCCAACAAGATGGATAGGGCGGCCTTTTACCCAAACAGCAAGTAATTTATGGGATGTCAAAACTGCAGATATAAAGCCGGCCTTTGAAAGGGAAAAAACTTGACAGAGATGTTTATCTTCAAACGCCAAAGAAAATCTTACCTGCTTGAATAATATGGAAAATGAAATACTGTGAAATCACTTAATTTCGTGTTGGTTTAATTTTCGTGGTTGTCAAGGTATGATTAGACCAGGAATTGATATCCACTACGAAATTTCACATATATTACTACTGGACTATCATACAACCACGAAATCAAATCCTATTGAACCAATAAATTTTCCTCACACCTCAAAAATTTGACCCCTCGACAATATGTTATTTTAAAGAACTCCATGGACTAAAAGATGGTGAAAGACAGTTTTACTTATGTATCAAAGAAAAACTTGACAAACTTTGCTTTGAGCAGTGTAGTTTTGACCCATATCTCTTCTGCTAGGGTAGAAAGCTACCTGAAATAATTTGTTCTCGTTTTGACGATTTCCTCTATGCTCTTTATGCTTTGAATGATATTTTTGAAAGACAGATTTGCAAGTTTAGAGAGAGATTTTCAGCAGGATATTGTGCTCAAAGCCAATTTTATTGTATTAGTTTCTATCTTAAGCAAGATCAAGAGGGGATAGTACTGGATCACACAAATTACACGGAGAAGTTACAAAGTACAGAGATTGACACACTGCGATCAAGTCAGATGAAAAGTCAACTAGGTGATGTAGAACAGACTGCATACAGAAAAATCATAGGGCAGATCAAGTGGTCATTTATTAAGGGGCCAAGATATGCATTTGAAATGAAAGACATGAGCACTAAGCTAAGAAACGGCGCCATGGCTTAAGGACTTCAAAATATCCTGAGATTTCCAGCTTTTGTCCCTTAAGATAATGACATTTACTGATGCATCTTGAAGAAACCTTCTAAAGACAGGACAGATAGTGCCAGACTTTTTTTGGTTAAAATTGACAATATAACTGTTAATCCTACAATAATACACATTATAATCAATTCTTTTTTTTTATTTTAATTTTCTCTACCCAAAAAGAAAGTATGAATATTGTTAATATACTTACATGTAACATGGCAAGAGATCATATAAAGTAAAGTTTTAATGTATGATTCTGAAAAGCACTAACAATATTTCAAAAGGCGAAGCCGAAGGACGCCACAGAGAAATAGATTTGCAAAAGGGGAAGTGGGATCTTGTTTACTGCTTCAGTAATATTCTTAATCTGTTAATCTGTTTTATTACACTTTTACAAAACCGGATATACATTTCTATTTTTACACAGTGCAGTTAATTTTTTCTAAAAAAAAATCTTCATAGGATGTGTGGTTATTTAAAAACCACAAAGATAAAAATCAGAGATACTCCTTTGAACTCGTCTTCCGATACTATCTTCGCCTCTAAAGTTCATTTTTATAAATAAATCTTTTAAGACCTTTTAAATTTTTCTTTTGTACGTACTGAATTGGGAAAAACCCTAATACGCCCCTGGTTTATCTGATGAATACTAGACACAGACGGGTAAAATCGTGGTACACGGGAGTCTTCGTTCATTCGGAAAATGCTTCATGATATCATTAATGTCCGTTATTTTCACCTTTCAAACTTTTTAGTGTATTATACTTTTTTTGAATTTTTACATTTTTACATTTAATGTTCTTTATGTTCAAGTGCAAACGGAGCTAGGCTTTTCTAAATAACATTATTGAAAGCACTGAAATTCAAATGAAATACATGCTTCATTGATTGATTTTCGCACTGGTATCTCTAGATAATTCATGATTTGAAATTCCGGAAAACGGCAAATATGTCTAACGAATTCTTAAACCCTTTATTCAAAATTTCCCATCCGGTAAATCTATGTTTTAAAAAAAGTGAATTTTGCATTTTTAAGTTACGCAAAGCATATCAAAAATCCAGGGACTATTGTGTAAGCACAAATGCAATTCAATGTTTAATGTTAATGTTCAATGTTCTTTAATTACACACCCATTTTGAAAAGCACACAATAGTTGTGACCGATCGACGTGAAATGAATACTCCTCCCAGTGCCACTGCAAGCATTTTCTTCTCATTTAAGGTTCCTATTTAATAAACCCTGCTTCAAAGGAACATAAATTCAGGTCGGTTTATAAAGGAACACAATGAATTATTGAAAGACCAGATTTTTTAAGACAACATAGATTTTATCAATAGGGAATTCCAGCATCCCATTAGAATCAACCTCAGACTACTATCTGTAGAATCAGATTTATTTTTAACAGATTATTTTATATATGACCAATTACAAGATATGTCAACATTTAGCTTTATTACTTAAAAAACTTATACTCTGCACTCATGGCCATAGAACAGTGATGAACCGTTTTCATATACTGCATGCTTAGTCGCCCGCGTGGCGCAGTGGTTAGAGCTTCTGCTCTTGGGTCGTAAGGACTAGATCCTTACGTCACATGTTCGAATCCCACTGTGGGACGTGGAGACCCCTCCTTCTGATGAAACCGTGTAAACCAAGGTCCCGTGTCGCAGAAGGTGCTGGCACGAAAAGATCCCTCCCTGCTCAATTGCCCTGAGTGCTGAGTATAGGACAAAATTTGCAGCTCTCAATCGGCAGGGGGTGGCGTGTTTTTAGTATTTAGAGCAGAGCAACACAGACCTTTTTAAGTCTTCGGAGCACAACAACGAAGACCTCTGTAGTATGCAGAGCACAACAACACTGACCTCTTTAGTCTTCAGATGTGGGAAGAAAAGTAAATCTCTGCAGTGACCACTCACCCCATGAGTCCTGATGGAGTAAACCTAATGATCTGTCAGTAATCTGTCGGTATAAAACTAACGGTCCAGAAGGATTTATATAAAAAGCGTCATTATCTTGTTTCAAAGTCTTTAGGCCGAATTGTTAGAAGCGCTTTTGACATAAAACCAATTATTGAAATACTATATTAATTGTGGATATTATTTCAATAGTCGTTGCAACAGTAATTTCCGTTGAAATGAAATTAAAACGAGACAGATTGAATTGAATACATTTTATCACCAAAGAGTCAAAAAGGATGAGACACAAGTTCAGAAACTTAGATAGTAAAAGTAAAGTGGCATGATTTAGACGAAATATTTAAACGA